TTTTTTTCATATATAATTAAATATTTTTGCTTGACCAATTTTATTTTTGAAAAAATAAATTAATTATTTCGTAAATTTACTTATTACTAATCATTACACATTTTTATCAAAAACACTTTAAAATATTCATATCGTTCAAACCACATCGCTTAGTATAAATCGAAAGTATCATTTGATAAAATATGTAAAAACAATACTTTTTTTATAGATCGTAAGTCATATACTGAACAGAATCTGGCTTTTATTGGTAACAGTGATTCATTTATCAAAAAACAAAGCAGGAAGTCTCAACACTGGTAGAATATATGGGCTAGGTGCTGCAAAAAGAGACGAAATTGACAATTTTTTTCAAAAGAATTTTTTTACATAAATCAATTTAGAATAAGATTAGGGTCATTTTTTTACTTAATACACAAAAGTAGTTATATTAATAAAATTTTGTAGTATAGCTTTTTAAAGTTTGCATTTGCTTATGATTTATTATAGGATTTATAAATAAAAATTGATTTTCCGAAGATTTTTTTTTTTGTCAATTTCGTTTCTTTTTGCAGCACCTAGCCATATATTAATACAATTGACTCTCTTGTGGTATTAGTAAAACGCTAAATATAAGATAATTAGCTTTTTTTCAATCTCTCTATACTAGAATGCTCTATGGCATAAGTAGATTCAGTTAATACCTATTATTTTAAAATTTATATTAGTGTAGACCAAGTGGTGAAATACAGAATATTGATTATTTCAACGAAAATAAATTAGTGCAAAGAGATAAGCTATCCTTTTTTTTATTAAATATTATGTTTTGATTGTCTTATTTCTATATTTACTAAACGTTCTTCTTCTATAATTTGTTCACGAAGCCTTTTACATTTTTCGATACGTTGCAGTCTCTCAAATGAAAAATGTTTGAAAATTATATCACTAAAGGAATGAACTCGAGATACTGCAACAAATGATAATCCAGCAGCAAATTTGTTTTTTTTGATATTGATCACAGCCTTTGCTAAAGTCAAACCTTGTGATTTATGCACTGTGATAGCCCATGCGAGAATAAGAGGAATTTGCAAACGTGAACATATCCAGATTTACCTTCCCACGTGCACTGTATAAGACAATTGAAACGATTAGAACTCCTTCAGGAGTGGTAATAGTTGGTCTGTCGTACTTGTCAAATGCGACTAGAACGGCAGTAGAGAGTGAATTTGGCCCATGATTGTCAGTATAAAAAATGTCTTCAACAGTTCCCATCGCACCATTTACAAGACCAGCAGCAGTCCAAAGGTTTGCAGTAAGCTTAACATGTGCTCCTTTTGCAAGTAGTATTTCTGCTTCAAGACCTTTGGCTTCATCCGAATTAGCCTTTTTTGCCTTAGCCCTACCAAGACTATGAATAGCACAAATCTTGACAGTTGGATGGTTTAATATATGAAGCTTATTGAAATTAATTTTATTAACATCTACCTATTTAGATAAGAGACAAGTAGCATTTGAAAAGGTTTCTCGTTCTGATATTGGCATCACTATTTGTAAGTTGATTAAGGTTTTGATGACGAACATGTAGTAGAACTTTTGTACAACAGAAATTTTCCCATTGGGGCTCACTTCTTAAAGAGGAGGGACGAGGCCATATGCGTACAATATTTTCTTTATTGCATTTTATCTATTTCCTCTTAACAAATTTATACTGCAGATATAGTTGAAAAAGTGAAAGATTCTTTAGATCGATTGGTCTATTCCAATACATTTGCAAAGGCGAGAGTACCGTTTTTCCAACATGGCTTTCCTCATTGTCATCATATTCTTCACCGCCAATGGGCGCCTCTTTATTAAGATTTAATGTAATAAAATTTTAACTACAGTGGTAAAGAGGAATTCCTAAAAGAAGATGGCAAGTTTCTTGAGCTGAAAAGTCACGTTCTGAGATAGTGTGAAGAAGTAATTTTTGAAATGCCATAATTGATAGATTATCTGGGTTACTATTCTGAAGAGCTCTGTCTAAAATTTCTGAAAATGCTAAAGAGCGGGATTCGGCCTTGCTTGCATACTTAGAGATGTACTGCAAAGCAGCGTAGGTTGTAAGTACAGGTTTAAAATCGACATTTGCTCTCCATCCTTGGAGTTGAAGTTGATTGTGCGGATTGATCAGATAGTCATTCCTTGCAGTAATCAATTCTGGGTACCTACGCTTATCAAATTGTATAAGAGTTTTATCTTTAACTCTTTTGGAAAACTGAACCTACAAGACTGCTGATCTGTTAGTTTATTAACTCTTAAACAATACGATACACTACAATGTGTGTTTCTTTGCAATTCGTTTATGAGTTCAATATAGTTTTGCAACCCGTCATCTATTTCTTTAGGTCGTTTTTGACATAGATAGTAATTAGGCATTGCTGCATTTAACCCCGGGTTGATAGTTGTGATTAACGAGTCCAGGTATTTTACTATTTCATCCATGTGGTCTTGGTTTGACTTTATATCATCCCAATTAATCTCAGGCACTTCTTTTTGAATTGCTACACCATGAACATGAACACTTCCACGGTGTTGCCATTCAAAATGATACCACCAATCACTCAATCCCCACTTTGGTATTAAAGCTTTTTCAAAAAAAAC